AGAGAAGAAAAGTCCAAGGGTACTAACTCTCTGGCAGACTTTGAGGAAAGAAACGAGGGGCATAGATGGAGCCCCGGAAAATACGGACCAATGTGTGCCAATTCAATGGGAACGTCGAGAGGTTTGCTACATCAACACCAGGAACCCATAGAACAGGGGCCGGGTCAGGAGAGTATTTAACCCCTCAATTTCCTCACTTTTTCCAGACTGCACTCATAGAAGAAGCAGAGGTGATGGTGGAAACAGTCTCGCCAACAAGTGCGTTTAGCTTCACGGATGACACGGCGAGCGATCGCACGCTTCTGCTTAAAATCAAGAAGTCTCTAAGCGGTTCTATTGTACCGGTACCTGCCCCATGCAGCGCGTTTCAAACGTACTGCACGAGCACAAGCAGGAGACCACTAAGGCACGCACTTCTGAGAATGCCTGCCTGAGGTTTGGGGTATAGAATGAGAAGCTGTGGTATAAACTGACGTCGAGAAGAGGTGTAGGAGCTCATCAATGGAGGATGAAGAAGGAGCCTCACTAAAAGCAGTGAGGTGTGAGTAAAGATCCCAATTTGCCCAATCAAATTGCCAGCGAGGGCTACGGAAAGGTGGTGAAAAGGGAAAGGGGAAGTAAGAATGATTGGAAAATGATCGCCGTCATGTAAGTCCGGTAGAACAGACAGGGGAAATCTAGTGCATGGAGGAAGAGCAGACTGATAGATCGATGCAAGAGAGAGTATGAGTACGAGGATCAAAATGGGTGGGAGTACCCGTATTTAAAACATGGAGGGGGTGAGAGGCGAGAAAAGCCCCCCACTGGATGCCACGCGAGTCACAATGAGACCCCCCCCCAGAGGAAATGGTGGGCATTAAAATCCAAGTAACAGAAGTGGGGGTGGTAAGGATGAAACAAGAAAGGCAAAGTCTGGGATAGAAAATGCTCGAGAAGGAGAGAGATATAAAAAACATATTGTAAACCACTTATTAAGTGGGTACGGGCTGCAGTGTAATGCAGCGAGGTATGGGCAAATAGTTGACAGTAGGAATATCATTGCATAGAAGAAGGGCACTTTCATTAAAGGTCCCATCTGAGAAAGGATCCGAAGAATACAATAAATTATATCCTGAAAATAGGTTGGAAAACAGCCGAGTGTAATTTTGGTTCTTGTAAGCAAGCACCAACAGGGGAAAACCTGGAAGGCAACATCTGAAGCTCACCCCGATTACCCCTGAGGCCGCGGATATTCCACTGTAAATAGGGCCCTGATTGGCGATTAAGAAAATACCAGGAATCTGTAGGTTAAGGCACCTACGGACTAGAGGGGTTAGAAAAGTCAACGTGTGGTGGCATTGGAAAACGTTTCAAGCAGCGAAGGAACGGAGCGTTGCGAAGAATGGGTTGTGAAGATGGAGGAGAGAGAAGAGAAGGAACAGGAAGTGAATCAGTGTCCATTGAAGGTTTAGTCTCTGCAATATATTCTGAAATGGCTTCAGTGTTTCTGAATTCAAAGATGTATGGGAGACCATATTGGAGATAGGAGGAGGAGGGTGAGTAAAGATTGGGACAGTAATGGACTGTACCAAAGTAGAGGGGAGGGAAGAGTGTAAGGGACTGGAGATGAAGTGTGGGGGGGGGGACAGAAGAGGCAGAAACCTGGGAGGTGGCAGAAAGGAGAAACTTGGGAGGGGACGGGGGGTGGGGGCATAGTACGAGGAGGAGGTGAATCTCCACACTTGGAATAGAGCCAGAGAGAGTGGAAAACTAGGGACAGAGCCTGGAAAGGGTAATGTGGAGGTGGAAGAAGGAAGGAAGGGGCAAAGAAGATTTGAGCAATGTGGATTTTTCGGACTTCTGAGAAGTAGAGGGGCGATTGGTATTAGGTGTCGTAGGAGGTCTTGTCGATACTGGGGCTTGTGAGGAAGATGTGAGAACAGACTGAGTTGTAGTCGGGACGTCAGAGCCAAGGACAGCAAAAGGATTAGATGCCGGAGTGGCTATGGAGGGTAACAACAGAGGGGCTGCAGAAGATGGGACCCAGATGGGGGGATGTTTGGAAACACGAGAATAAGAAACACGGGTAGTCCCCTGGAGGCGGAGAATGAGTAACTGCCATAGCAAAGGGAGACTTCTGCCTCTTTGAGGCAACGGATTTCACGTTCATTTAAGTAGACCTGGCAACGGCGGGAGTACGAAGGGTGAGCTTCATTACAATTAAGGCAAGATGTATTAGAATGGTCGTCGGCACCACAGACTGGGCATTCGGCCATAGATCTGCAATATTTTGCTGGGTGACCAAAATGCCAGCAATTTCTACACTGTTGTGGTGTAGGTATCTCCTTTCGAACTTGTAACCGATGTCCATGTCCTGCGGCATATACAGAGGACGGGAGTTCTCGGCTGTCAAAAGTTAAACGAGCCACATTGCAAGGGTAACGTCTCCGCCCACAGGCAGGAAGGACATAAGTGTCTACTTTGAGGATTGGGAGATCCTGGAGTTCCAGCTGTTCAAGAATGTCATTGCCACATGACTGGAAATTCTGTTGGACTATGGTATGGGGCAGAATGACAGTACCACTACAAGAATTGAGAGAAAGATGTTTTTCAATAGTGATAGGAGTAGTATCGATATTCGAAAGGAGAGAAAGAGCTTGAGCTTGGGTAGCATTCTGGACAGTGACGATGCGCGTACCGCTCTTGAGAGCATGAAATGAAATATCTCTACTAACATGACGCAGGAGCACTTTGCCAATACTATGGTCAGAAAGGTAGGCAGAAGAAGTCGGGGCTTAAAGTAAAGAATTTAGTCCATTGTGTGGTCCGAAACTGAGCGTGGAGAGGAGTGCTTGACGTGTCGGTCTTTTCCGAGTAGAATGGGAAGGTAACGAAGGAGCATCATCAGGAGATTGACGTTGGGGTTTAGGAGTAGGACCGGAGTTGGTCCGGCGTGAATTGGCGGGCAATTCGAAAATTGCCATACCCTAAGGGGAGAAGCCGGAAGCATAGTCCCAAAGGGGAGTAGAGTTTAGACAAATCGAAGGAGTCAGTCGAAGCCCCGGTACCTGAAGCGGGTGAGGAAACAGCACCAGCAAGAGGTACAGGGGCATCAGGAGTGTCCGAAGAGTGGTCTAAACACAAGGCAAAGGGGCAGAATGGGGTTTTGGTATCAAAAGGGGCCCAGGGTAGTGGGTTCTGGATTGGGTTCTCCATGGTTAGGTTACTCCTTTGCTTTTTGTTTTTAAGAAAAAAAAAGAAAGAAAAGAAAAGAAAAATAAAAAAAGAATAAAAAAGGGGGGAGCTGGGAGGAATAGTTCCCAGGAGGAATGAAAGGGCCGGAAATCTCCCTCCACGCCCAAGAGGACCTCAGCACCGCTAGTAGCGCAGATGCAGCATGGAACCCGTGCCATACCCTACCCTTCATGCCAGTAAACCAGCAATCCGGGATAGCAACCTCACATCTGCCGAGCTACCTCCGTGTACAAAAGAGAGGGAGGCCGGATATCCGCCACAAAGCATACCTCCTTCGGCCACCACCCCCGGAATCCGAAAGGTGGCTTCCAGAGATACACCTGTCGCCGGAAAGACACCCAAAGCTACTCCAGGATACCGGAGAGGGATCGGGACATCCCCAGGCGATCCAGATTCCACGGCAAACTACACCACCGCCAAGAACCTCAACGGAATGGGATGGACCCCGGTGTCCTTTCCCCTACCTAGGAACTAGCGCACCTGTGGGAGAAATCCCAAAGGCCAAAAAGAGGAAGGGCAAAAGGGAGGGGTGGGGAGGAGGAGGAGGAATGGAAAAAGGGGAGGATGGGATAGGGGAGGGGAGATTGGGGGGTAATTAGGTTCGGTCTGAGGAAGAAGACCGACAGGTCTAATTCCTCAGACCAAGAGCCTCTTCACCACGCCAAGGAGCCCCCCCTTGAAGAGGCAAAGCTTCTGAAGAGCGAAACGTTACCACAATAAAATGTCACAGTAGTTGCACTTGTCCTTTTACCTCCATTGGCTTTACCTGACCGCGAATGGGCAACACCTGACTTCAGTTGATTTGACCCTCAAGAATTTGACATCCATTATTCTCACCACTTTTAAAATTACTGTAAAATGTTTTAGATGATTATTGACTTCGATGAGAACTATTTTGTTAACATTAATTCGTGCTTCAGATAGTTTAAAACTAATCCAACAAGACAACAATGGTATTCTGATCTGATACTCTTATGATTATCAAATATGAATACGAGTTTACAGTTGTTGAAATTTATGTTGTGGTCTATGAATAAGAATTGTACAACACCTGTGTCTTTACTGAGGAGACTTGGAAATATAAACACACATGCAGTATAATGTCGATATTTTATACCATTTCCACTGAGGAGACTTCATCAACCAGCGGCTCTTTCAATCCAATACAGAGTAAATACTGAAGGTTTATCAAAGTTAAGAAAGTGAACACCTCAAAATCGCATCTTCACGTCCTCTGCTGTCTCAATATTTATAGTATTTAATCTTTGTATTGGGTCGAAAAAGCCACTGACTGGCTTACCGTTTCGTCAAAGACACCCAGGTGTTGCACATGTTTTATCAACTTTTCGGTATTGTATATCAGTATAATTTATTGTGGTCACAGTAGTGTACATGACAAAACTCCACACTGCTAGTTCTTAAGTTCTGACCTCTCTCTGGTGTCATTAACTCTCGATCAAGCTACTTTTCGTCTCTTAAAATCTCGTGGAACCTGTAGAATGTTAGGTTCGATTTATAATGTTGCTGATTACTGCATCCAACAGAGTAACACAAAATAACTATCGTAGAAGCTTATAAGAATGAGAAAAATCTCATCCTTCAATTTACGTGATTGTCAAGGAATTTCACGTCCATTGTGAAAGTCATTAACTCGTGACTTCACATGCTATACCTCAAGTGTTCATTAGATGGGTTTTGCTATTGTCATTTTGCTACGGCTGCTGTGATACAGAGGCGAGAACTAGTGATAAATGTGTGCGCAGCGTGCTAGCCAGTACCTAATAGTCCACAGTGGCACTAAGCTGATATCACACCACTTAGTTTACCTGCTCTCCCAGCCGCTGACGTATGTCATTACTAAGGGTTCCTCACCTGGCCGCTCTGTAGATCCACACTACATTACTGTGTTGTGTTCGCCAGTCATAGTCCACTTCAATAGAGCAACCCTGTAACGCTGCTTCTCATCCAGGGACACGCCGTAATTTGAAATGTAGAAGAAACTTTTGAGGTGTATTAACTTACCGTGGCGTGATGTTAAGATGAGGCATGCCGCTGCGATGCATGTGCAGCCAGGGGAGGCACCAGCACCGCCAGCACCAGCGACAATAGCAATAGCATGAGTAGCGTCGTTGGCGAAAGTAGCAGCAATAGTAGTAGCACTACTATTAATAGCAACAGCAGCACCATGTCAATAAACAAGAATTCTACCGGAACACTAGCGTACGTCTTAGAAATTAACTCAGGTGGTGAGTATTTAGAAATGTTATAAGAGTCTGTTAACTGTAAATGAGTGTGGAATTAACAAATCTATTTGTTATCTAGAGCAGTTGCACGCATGCTGCTTACTTTATTACAGAATTACAGGAAAGTTAATAGAAATGCAGAACACCTTATATAGCATGGTTAGATATATTAGCAATGTGCTGCAACCTTATTCTATATGATAGTTACAAAGCGGGAACATAAGCCAGCAATGTTTCCATGTCATATTCCATCACACATGGGTAACAGTGTTGAAATGTGTCAGCCTGAGCTGGGAGATGTCAGTAGTGCAATGAGGATATCATTATGTATTCAATTAAGGGTTAATTGGCTACGGCAGCTTCAAAGGTTTCCTTCCAGCAGAGGTGGAGTTACTGTAACTTGGGAATTAGTCTCTCAGGATGGACTATCCCATTCACAGGAGAAATAGGAATTATAAGAGCATATCCCTACCACAGACCGTGGCAACAATGATATACATGACATTGAGTGAGTGAAGGGGGCGGGGTGCCGTGATGCTGCTGAGCTCATAATCCAAGGAACGGGGACTAACCTCTTCCTCAAATCAAATTTGATTTTCTTGCATTTATCTGACGCTTAACCCTTATGGGTTCAGCGCTTCCTCGTGAATAGTCACGTTACAAGAGCGACGGCTCTCAAAACTACAGTGGTATAACATTCATGGAGAAGCGCTAAGTCCCTAGTGGTCATAAATTGCTTGGGTAATAGGAATCTAAGGGAAAAGTAGCTCCAGTTCCTTGCATAAAGAGCCTTTCACAGCATGTATGAATGGAAAATAGCCCTGGCTCATGACTATACCTCACGATGGCTGAGCCTGATGATCAACCAGGCTGTTACTGCTGGCCCCACACAATTTAACGTACGAACCATAGCCCGGCTGGTCAGGTACTCACTTTAGGTATCTGTCCAGTTCTTTCTTGGACGGATATGGGTCTGTAATCCACATTATGTATGATGGAAGGCTGTTAAACAGCCTTGGGCTCTGGTATTTTTGTTTTCCCTCAGTGTACTCGTGGCACTCGTGCTTTTCATTGGGAGAGGGAAGGTTGCGCCGTCTGCCGAGTCTTTTGCTTTCATAGGGTCCAGAAGATCCAGTAATTCTGAACACAACTTTTATTTGTACAGGTGAGGGTGGGAAGTACAACTCTTCGTGTGGACCCTTCCTGCCGTGCTACCCGCACATCAACCTGGTGTGTGTGGACGGTGTATGTATGTGTATCAGTGGCTTTACCAATGATAAATCAGGTGAGAATCTTTCCTCTGTTCTCTCTAGGGTTGGTATTTGTCTCACTGAGAAGGGGGATCTGTTGTCCCGGAAGTGTTGTTGTTCTCCTCCCCCCCTCCCGGGAATAAGGTGGTAATTAGTTTGTATAGAAGCAATGCATGTTTTGTCTCCGTTTACATTCTCTCACACTGTATATAATGTGCCGAATAGGGCAAGCGAAAATGTGTGTACGCAAAAAAATCGCAAAAATCAATCTGAATTTAAAGAAAAAAAATATTTTAAAATATTTGATCTAAAATATATTTAGTTGGATTAGATTAAATTAAATTGCGCTTGTTATAATAAGGTTGGTAAGGTAAGTTTTCTAAGGTTCTTTTTGGTACAAAATTATTAATTCTTTACATTAACATAATTGAGAAAAATCTTTAAACGTATAAAAGAAAATTTTAGAAAGGACTTAATTTTAAATGAGTTCTTGCTAATTGACCAATTTTACTTATTCGGCACGACAGTATATATATGTCGTGCCGAATATGTAAAACTGGTCAATTAGCAAGAACTCATTTAAAATTAAGTCCTTTCTAAAATTTTCTCTTATACGTTTAAAGATACACTTTTTTTCATTAACGTTAATGTAAAAAAATTTAATTTTGCACCAAAAGAATCTTAGAAAACTTACCTAACCTTATTATAACAAGAGCAATTTATTTTAGCCTAACCCAACTATATATATTTTAGATTTGTTTACAGTAATTTAATACTAAACAAACAGTGAAATATATTTTTTTCGTTAGGTTCAGAATGATTTTGGCGAAATTATTGCATACACAAATTTTCACTTGTCCTATATGGCAAGATGAGCGTTGCTATTTAAGCCAAGATCGCAAGTTCTGCCTATTCGGCACGACATATATATATATATATATATATATATATATATATATATATTATATATATATATATATATATATATATATATATATATAATATATATATATGTGTGTGTGTGTGTGTGTAAATATAAAGTATTGTGTAATCTGTGTATTCTATTAACAGGCAATGTCTATAATCATTGTATAAGTTGTATTCTGTGGGTTTCGGTGTCTCTTTTCCCGCGGGTTTATTTGAAAAGTATAATATTGCATAAGGGTTTTATTAACAGAACTATGTGCCAGATGCATGAAGACTTAGCGTGTATGCTGGATGTATAAAGTATAGACGCGTGTTGCAGGTGGGTGCGAGAACCCCATCATAGGGGTGTTGACCACCTGGATATGGAAGATAATAGCGATTGCTGTGTTCTTCATCATCCTCTTCATGCTGCTCCACCAGTTCGCTTGCAAACGCAGGTGAGCGAGTAAAGTAAGGAAGTGGTATGGTAATACCAACAAGGTGTGGATAAAGACGTCGAGCCTTGTCCTGATGAGCAGGGCTCGCAGGAAGGAAAATGGGAGAAGAGCGTTGGTAAGTGCCAAGATGTTTGTTGGAAAACAGGTCCCAGAACTACGAGGACATTGATATGAAAGTATACAAAGCGATGAGTTTGTCATTACAAATCTAGAATATGAGGAGGCATCATAACTTACAAAGTACTGAAATATACAGACATTTGATTGGGAATAGCCTACGATAGGAGGAAACAACGAGAACAGATAACTCAGTACTAAAGTTCACATGAACCAGTTTGACATAGTGAATTATGTCACAACCAGGGTACTGAACAAATACATTACAAAAGGATGTAATGGAGGACAACTCGGTAAATAGGTCCCTAGTGGGTTTAGCACTTGGTTTTTATTATAATCAATAAATAGGTTTGAAATTAGATATGACGGAGTTCAAAAGCGTAGGGAGTAAGCCACACCAGTTAATCTAAGTGTACATGTCCCCTCATGGAAGGTTCCTTGATGTTGGTGAGGGGCTCTTGATTTAGGGAATTGAATCTGTGCTCCAGTTCCCCGAATTAAGCCTGAATGCCTTCCACATCCCCCCCCAGGCGCTGTATAATCCTACGGGTTTAGCGCTTCCCCCTTGATTATAATAATAATAATAATAAGTGTACATGTCAGGCCCAAGAGATAATGCTTAACCTACACACATACATCCGCTCACAGATGAGATCCTAGTGGGTTTAGCGCTTAGGTTTGATTAATAATCACAGGTGAGAGCAAAGATCTAAGTATTGTATTAACGAAGGTTTTATTAGTTAGAGAATCTAGATAGGGCACTGAAACACAACAGCCAGTAACCTACATATATGAAAATATACGAGGAGTAACCACTTTGTCCTCTTGTGGCAGATGGTGCGAGCTATGGGGGAGAGAAGAACAGCAGGAAGAGGAAGACAGGAGGACTTGCTGGTCCGACGCCCCACCAGCCTACCTGGAAGTGGTTGAGGCTCCTCCCACGTACACTGAAGCCATGGCGAAGATTGCCGTAAGTATACACCCTTCTCTATGCTGGCGTAGTTTTACAGATTGCAGAGGCACAAGGTGGATGTAGGCAGGGAAGCAGGTGTGTGGATCAAGTGTCTGCATTAAAGCAAACAAGTGAACAACACTTAAGTGTAAGGAGCTGAGGGTTTACTAGACATAACATAGGGTGGAAAGGGAAGCAATGTGATAAATGTTGCAGTATATAGAATACCTATTGTTTTTATGAGGCGAGTAATGCTCAGGTTAGGATATATGGAAAAGGGGCCCCTGTTTACCAGGATAAGCGGGCCTTAGATAGGAATGTGATATCACCGTGGTTTTCATGTGTGTATCCACATACACGTGAACGCTCGAGTATTTAAGAGGTGCTGGTTTCAGTGATAGTGAATGTAATAGAAAAATAAAATTGCCACAGTTGCTCTTTGCTAATAACGTTTTGGGGAGAATTACGAAGATACTCGTGCAAAAGTTGAAAAGGAAGTTGAAAGTGAACACAAAAGAAGCAAAATCGCGAGAATAAAATGGAGGCAATGATAGCTGGTGTGTCAGATTTGAGGTTTGGAATATAGAGTAATTCTAAGATACCTTGGAGTTGACGTCTATAAACTGAGAGAATTAATGAACTATCCTCCCTCCACTTGCGAGTACCGACTACCTCTCACAGCCTTCAATGAAAGTTTAAATATGAAAGGTTTCCTAGCATTAGATTTCCTTGTATAACCAAATATTAAGTGTTTATATAGACTTTACCCCTCAGGGAAGGTTCCTTGAAGTTGGTGAGGGGCTCTTGATTTAGGGAATTGGATCTGTGCTCCAGTTCCCCGAATTAAGCCTGAATGCCTTCCACAGCCTTCCCCCAGGCGCTGTATAATCCTACGGGTTTAGCGCTTCCCCATGATTATAATAATAATAACAATTATATAGACTTTCCGGGGTAAGCACTAAATCTTTAGGGGTCGTAATACCGCCTGGGAGAAAGGTAGACAATCTAATTCGATGCATGGGGAGAATAAATGTTTTTTTTTTTCTCGAGAGTTGTCCCCCTTTCCCTCACCTTATGGGATAAAAATGTTCATATGCAAATCCATATATACTTTTTAAGGTTGCAAATGCCTAGCTATGCATATAGGAACATATGTGCTTCTGTCTGACAAGGTATATTATTATTATAATCAAAAAGAAGCGCTAAGCCACAAGGGCTATACTGCTGACAAGGTATAGGCGAGTATACAACTGTTGTGGTGTAAACTATTATTATAATCAAAACTAAGCGCTATGCCCACAAAGATTATACAGCGTTGTTGTAAACTAATCAGTGTTTAGTTACAATTATTTTCGTTTGTTTCAGGAGAGTTCTGAGGGCACTGTACCAGAAGGGTTGGATACCTCGTGGTGTGCCCAGTGTTACGAGGATGGCCCCGGGGTAGCGGTGATGCCCAGTGAACCCCTCTCATTCCTCGGGCACCCACCCGAGGAGGAGACTGGCGCGAAGCCCAATACAACCCGCTCATGCCCAGGGCATCCATCACCCGAGGACGATACCGGGGCAGTAGCGGTTATACCCAATGAAACTCTTGCATGCCAAGGAAATCCACATCCCGCGGACGGCCTTGGACCAGTGATGATCACATCTGTGGTGATGCCCAGCAGAGCCCTGTTATGCCCCAAACTTTCACCATAAAAGCAAGAAGTGCTTGGTTAAGGGCACATAACACACTGATACACCTCCGGAAAACGGCCATGTCTGACAGTAAGCCATCCGACTACAAAATTAATCTCAACGTGAACATGTAACAAGCTGTGGGAACCGTGATTCGCCTCGCCAGTAAGGTGCGGGTTTAATGCTTTCCTGTGAGCATTATTTCGTGTGATATATAATCATTATTACGCAGTGTAAGCACAGTGAAAGTAAAGTTCTAAGCGATTTCGTAATCACATTATCCAGGGATTGCGAAAGGAAATACTGTAAACCGTGTTATATAGCCGAGATTACCCAAACACAGCTTCACCTAACACATATGTGGTAACACTCGTGGTGTAGTTTGAGAACAATGGAGATGCACTGCCGTAGGCCTACTGGCCTGTGCTTCATGCGTGAGGTACCACCTACATGCGAGGTGAATACTATATGAAACCCACTTTACACTTTCACAATCCCTTGAAAATTTAACAAAGATCACGAAAGTACTTGGCATTTTACTTGCATCAAAAGACATCTACATCACTTGTTCTGATAAGATAGGTTTAGTCATGGTATGTTACGCTTGCACAGCTCCAGTCTTATAAAAAAAATGTGTGGTATTTACTTTTTTTTTTTACTTATTCTTTACAAAAGTCAACTAAATTATATTTTTGTATGTTACAATAAATATTAACAATATTCGACTTCTCTTCACCCTATAAGAGCAGAGCCAATACACAAAACAATGCTTAAGACATTTTACTGAGAAAACGTTTCGTCCACCAGGGACTTCATCAATCCTCAGAGATAGGTAATAATAGGATACATATAATGGAGAGACGCGAGTCAAGGTGTAAAGATGGGCGAATATTATCGCCAGGTGGACACGCTTACATTACAGTGGGTGGGTCAGTATGCCGACTTCAGTACTCCTCTGTATCGATCTATACAGTAGCTATATCATATCCGGTGAGACTAAGTTTGGTCAGTGTTTCAGAAATTAGGAATGAACCTGATTTCTGCGTGATGATAGTAGTGGCAATCAGAGAATATTCGAAGCATATTCACTTCCGCCTGTCCGCTTCCTTGATAACTAGTTTGGCGCTGGGAAAGTTCTTCAGATGGTTCTCTGTTTTGGTTAATAGAACAGTCGTTCATAACATCTCTGGCAGGCACTTCAGTGCTCGCTGATCCTCGTGTTCAGGTCCCTAGAAGTTTCACAGACAAAGTTTGTCACAACCTGGTGGAAGCAATACGGGAATACCGATTGCTGATCAAGACATTAAAAAAACGTATCACCACAAGTGACTTCACTTCTTGTGGCGCAAAGTTTGTTTTTAGTGTACTGATCAAAACGTACGATTCTTTTTACCTACAAATTGTCACGACCTCCAGAGGATATCATGAAGACGCCGGCAGTGGTGAGTTTGAGGTTCTCCTTTTTTTCACTAAATACTTTGTGTTGGAGGTCATGTGGCAGCCTTGATGTTGGTTTAGGTTAAGGATTTCGAGAATTTATTTCCTGTGTTGTTGACAAGAACTATATATCTGTTGGAGTTGGAATCTTGTCAGGCATTATGTAGTATCTTCTTAGGCCTTTTCCTGTAGTCAAAATATTGTGGATAACAATGGTTTTATTAATGTAGTCACATTATTCATCACCCGCATTCCTAGAAGGCTGCTAATTAAAACCTTCATGGCTGTACCTTGTCAAGAAGTAACCTCCAAATCCTTACCCAAAACCAACATCAGGGCTGCTACATGACCTCACCACTGCCGGCATCATGATATCCTCTATTATTATTATTATTATAATTAAGGGGGAAGTGCTAAACCCGGAGGATTATACAGCACCTGGGGGAGGGATGTGGAAGGCATTCAGGCTTAATTCGGGGAACTGGAGCACAGTTCCAATTCCCTAAATCAAGAGCCCCTCACCAACATCAAGGAACCTTCCTTGAGGGGATGATATCCTCTAGAAGTTGACAAGATGTAGGTAAAAAGACTCGTATGTTCTGATCAATACATTAAGGAGACTTTGCGCCACTAGAACTGAAGCCACTTGTGATACGTTTTCTTAATGTTTAGATCAGCGATCGGTATTCCCTTACTACTTCCACCAGGTTGTGATAAGTCTTGTCTGTGAAACTTCTAGGGACCTGAAGACGAGGATTAGCGAACACTGAAGTGTCTACCAGAGATGTTATGAACGACTGTTATATTAGCCAAAACAGAACCATCTGAAGAACTTTCCCAGCGCCAAACTAGTTATCAAGGAAGCGGACGGACGGAAGCGAATATGCTCCGATTGCCACTACTAGCATCATCACGTAGAAATCTGGTTCATTCCTAATTTCTGAAACACTGGCCAAACTTAGTCTCACCGGATATGATATGGATATTACATAGATCTATAAAGAAAAGTACTGAAGTCGGCGGCATACTGATCCACCTACTGTAATGTAGGTGTGTCCACTTGGCTCATTAACCTTACTGGAGGTAATATTCGCCCATCTTTACACCCTGACTCGCGTCTCTCCATTATGTGTGTACTCTTTACCAATCTCTGAGGACTGGTTAAGTCTCTGGTGGGCGAACGTCTTCAGTAAAATGCCTTATACAGTATTTTGTGTGTTTACATATTTGTCGGTCTACCACTGATATACAGGGATCTTACCATGATGCTGATGAGATCGTAATCCAAGGAACCGGAGCTACCCTCCCCTTTCCTCAGATCAAACCCAATGGAAATAAGTCACTGTCTGACTTTTATGGGTTATCCTAGGTACTTTACACATATGCTATGTATGATAATCTAACTATTTGTGTATACTTGAATAAACTTACCCCATCCCTCAGGCGCTGCATGACCCTTATTTGCTACTCAGGAGAATTGCTAAAACCTTAGTCATAAAGGACCTTCGGAATGGGAGGCAATCGAGTTTGATGAGAGGAAGATAGCTCATATTTCTTGGATCAGGATCCCTCCACCAGCACCTTGAAGGGGAGAGCTCTGGTAAACTACGTCTAAATCTATAGGAACTATTTTTTTTACAGTTCCTAGGAAATGAGAGGTAATTAAGTTCATTCCAAGGAATGGGAGGACAAGCTCAATTCCCTGGATCAAAAGCCCCTCACCGGCAACTCAGAGGGACTCATTATTATTACAATCACAACTAAGCCCTAAACCCACAAGGCCCATACAACACTTAAGAGAGACCCAAAGAAGACTGCAATCCTAAAGAGGGCCATCAATATTAAGAGGGGGTCTTCCCAAACAAGGGGGGGGGCCATCCTTAAGAAGACCGCTGTCTCAAAGAAAATGACCTTTTACAAAGAGGGTCATTTAGACATCTTAAAGGAGATGAATGTCTCCAGAAAAGGTAGTCCTTGAAAGGAGAATGCTTCTCCAAAGCAGCGCTGCCACTTCCTCCAATACGGCCATTTAAACTCTGCATCCAGGATGAAATGGCTCAGCTTCAGAAGGAAAAATGAATCTACAAATCAGCCGACTTGCCAGAAAAATATACGTCATACAATCAATAAAGTTCTACTTACAACTAGGAGTCTTGATTTCCAACTACTTTATTTTCCGTCTATACTGGAGATGACTCACTGTACTGCTACTATACTGGAGGATGACTCAGTCGTTTTCCACCTATTTCTGGACAAGACACACACAAAGAGTTAACCAGTTTTCTAGATTAAAATTCACTACATATTTAACAGTAGTAAAGTTATCTTCATTTATATTATATTTTACTATATTGCCGGATAGCTAAACGTAGAAAGGTCATACAGTACCTGGGGGATGGGAGGTAATCAGGTTTGATCGTAATTCCACATCCTGTATAGACAAGCACAGTGTCTACCTACTGAGGCTCGCAGGACCCTATGTCTAGCCCTTATACAATGCCATATGGATTACGCTTGCTCTTCATGGTACTCTGCCTTGACAAAAAAACTGAAAGACTGCAAATCACCCAGAACAAAATCGTAAGATTCATCCTGGGGCTGGGACCAAGAGAACATGTAGGCCAGGATGAATTACAGCAGTTGGATATGCTGAATGTTGAAGACAGAGTAAAACAACTGAAGCTAAATCATGTTTATAAAATTGCTCACAGTGTCCAGAATATCTTGCTGTCAATTTTGTCAAGGTTGGGAACCAAAGGAATCATAGTATTAGGGGGAGAGAGCACAACTTTGTAGTACCCACAGTCATTGGCCAGGCGTCAAACACCTTTTATTGTACAGCAATAAAGGAATGGAATAGACTACCCGCACATGTCAAAGCCAGTCATAGCATGAACCAGTTCAAGAAGAGTGCCAAAAGGTGTCTGATGAATGTAGCTACAGAAAGGGAGGGGAATGATTTTCTATTTTTTAGCTAACATACGTGTAAATTTTACCTTATTCCTAGTAATGACCCTCGTATTGTAGATAGTCTTTTTAGTATGATAATAAGATGTTATCTTCATTGTAGAATAATAAGAAAATATTATAACCTTTATATTATAATAAGGTAAAAGGACCCCAATGGAAATAAGTCACTCTGTCTGACTTTTTTGGGTTATCCCAGGTTCTCTACACATACGCTGCTATGTATGATAATTCTATGTAACTGTATTTGTGTATACCTGAATAAACTTACTTACTATAATCATGGAGGAGCGCTAAACTCGTAGGATTATACAGCGCACGTGGGGGGGGGGGATGGAAGGTTTTCAGGTTCAATTCAGGGAACCGGAGCACAGATCCAATTCCCTCCTTTGAGGGGTCGTAATTCCACAGATACCACTACTTGGCTGATATCAGTTACAATTCCACAGAACACACCCCTGCTCAGCTGGTATCACGTCAATTCTACACGACACATCACTCGTTATCAATACTGCAATTCCACACATCACTGTTACAATTTCACACAGAACTTCACTAGTTATCGGTGTATCACTGTCTCAGTTTTGTACTACACTTCACTAGTTATCATTGCTCCTAAGACGGATAGGGCGGGAGGAGGCTGGGTGCTTCCTGGTAAATTGTGCTTTGAACTCTAGTTACCATGACCTGACACACTGGTCATCATCTGGCCACTAACTGGTCGTGGCATGACCACCCAATAGCTGACCAGCAAAGAGAAGACCAACGTCTGCGAGGGAAATCCCCCTTCTTTGCCTCAGGGTGGTGAGAGAGACATGTTTCCTTCGACCGACTTGCATTTTTCGCATGGTGTCACGCTGGCTGCCTCTGGCCGTTAATTATACACTGTTGATCAGACACCAAGTGACTCTGGGCTACATTTCCCTGGAGGAAGAGACAATCACTGCCGTTCACTGAACAGCCAACAGCCGGTCGTGTATTCAACTCTCATTCGTTGAATAAACCTCAGCTAAACAGCCAGTTATCCTTCTTGATTGAAGCCGGGGACTCCTGTAGGCGGCTCAATTAGTAAATCATTATCGTGTTAGCAACAGTATGTAGGTTTAGTAACCTTACGATAGACAATTTCATCTTCACTTCGTTGATGACATATTTAAACTGCATCTCTCTAAAAATAATATAATGTACAGTAACATTTTCATGGGGTTAAACAGTACCTGAAATATATATAGGGTTCGGCATAAGTCGCTGTACTGAAAGTAATTGATTTTATATATTTCTGCACTAATTAAGCAAAGATGTCACAAAAGTAATAT